ATTTTTTATAACTTTATTAACAAATATTTTTTATTTAAATTTTTGGTATTAATAAATCCAGTGGTGTAGTAAAAATTATATTAAAAAATTCCTAATAAAAATTTGTCGTTTTCGACATTAAAAATGTCTTGAAAATGAAAAATAATGTATACAAATTTGTGACAAGATCAGTGTCGCCAGTAAAGTTTGTATCAAAAAGGTTTTTTTTTATTATTTGATTTATACCAATTCAGAGTTTATATGGACAATTTGTGCTTCAAAAATATTAAAAAATACTGACTATTTTCTGTGGAGCGGACAAAGCTGTCAAATTTGACATTCTAGATGAAATAGGATAAAAAAATGAATAATAACAAAATAAGAACCAATGTAAAAACAAAAAATACATGAACAAAATTGCTTTTAAATGGAAGGCAATACGTACGAAAATACAGGGCAATTCAACACCACACTTCCTGTCGATACAACAAACTCTTTGATTTGGTATTTAAGGAACTAACATTCCACGACCGGTTTCGCCTTATTAAAGAAACAAAGTGGAAGAACCTGGAAAGAAAATGGATGGCCAAATACAAAAAATATTAATAGAAATATAAGAGATAAAAACATTGGTAAGAGGCAAAAAGGCTTTGAAAAAATGAGTGCAAAATGATAAAGAATCATATGTCGACGTCTGAAAAAAAAAACGGATGGAAGAAGATGAAGATATAAATTGAGACAACCTGTATGATATTTTCATATTAATTCAATTATTGTACTAAATTAGATATTTTTTATAACATAAAAACTAATAAAATCCCTTTTTGAGTTATTTTTTTGTTTCAGTTTCATATTTTCTAATTTGGATAAAGAATCGGGTCATATTTTTCGTTTTTTTTTTTTTTTTAATTATCGTTTATAAAAAATACAAAAAAAGATACTATACGTACATACCTGGTGTTTTATTGGCCGTATTTAGTCAATTTTAGGCCCCGACAATCAAAACAGAATCATATCTTCATAACGGGATTTCATAGAATCAAAAAATAGCAAAAAACAATATCAAATTTTAATTATGTATACAGTGTGCTCGCAAAATAAATATTCTGCATTTCGAAAGAGAAAAAACAATTTTAAATTCAAATCCGAAAAAATTATTATGTAAAAACGTCGATGAGAGTGGAAAATGATGGCCAAATTGACCAAATTTATATTCAAGTTTTTTGTAATATTCCTATTTATTTTTTTAACAAATAATAATTTAAGAATTAAAAAAAAAGAAATTTAAAAATTACGATAAAACTTTTTTTTTTAAATTTAACAATACCTACAGTACAAAACATTATTTTTGAATATCCCTATATATAAACACTTTCCAACCACAATATTTCAATATTAAATTTGAAATAAAGCAGGGTTTTTTTTTTGTGTTAATTTTTAAACAAATTTGTGGGATACACTGTATATATTTTTAATCATCATTTATTATTATCTAAAGTTTCATTTCTTTAAAAAATATCTAATGGAAAAAAATCAATAAAATAATTAACCCGAATTTTCAAATGAATTTATTTATTTTTTGAACACACTGTATATATAGTGAGTGTTAAAAGTAAGGAATACATTCGAAAAATAAAAGAATACTGATTTTTAGAAATATTCCAAAAACTGGTCATTTTTATTTTTAAATTCCACACTTTTTAACATAATATTCGGATATCAAATGCATTTTTTTTTTAAATAGAAACGCCCCTTTTTAATAATTTTTATTACCATTTGCACACATCACCTTGTATATCCGAATATTACCTCAATAAAATTCAAAATTTAAAATATTTTTCAAAAATCAATTCCTAACTTTTGACTCTCACTGTATACATAAAATCTCGCGTCCGATTAATCAAACCGCAATCAAAGTCTTTCTAGATTGATATTGATTGTATTTTTTTTTTTCTTCTAATGAAACGCATCGTTGTTATTAATGATTTTTTAAATAATCCAATTGTTGCATTTATCACAACAAACAAAAATATTTAATATTGTCAATTTAGAAATTTAATCCGAGCCAATTAAAACAGTTGATAAATAATTACTTGATCGACGTCGGATACCGTTTGTCTAATTGGGCAATTAAAAGAGTTCAATCGTTCGATTTGAGGGGAAGATCAAAACAAAAATATTTCTATATTAATTTGAAAAATTTTCAACATATATTTAAATTTAATGAAAATTTAATTTGTTAATAAATACGGTAGTGTTTTTACTTAATATGTCACTTAAAATATATCAAATTTAAGTTATTTTAATGTCTTGTATTTCATCACAAATTCCAGTATTTATTTATTGTTTTAAAATTAAATTTATCATATATTAATCATACATTTAATAAAATGTAAAAAATTGCAATTAATATAATTCTTAAAGTAATATTGTTCAACATTAAAACACTATTTTTTTTAAATTGATTGAAACTTTGATGATGATATTTAAATTGTTGGTCAATTTTTTCCAAATTTTAGGTTTTAACAAAATTTAAATGATCTAAATTATTAAAATAATGTGTTTAAAATTTTTGAAATATTTTAATGATCAATTTTATGAATGTTATTAAATTTAAATAATAATTAAATAAATAAAAAATGATTTTAATCTGTAATTAAATAGAGATTTAAGGATTTTTTTTAAATTTTAATATATCAAATTTGAATTATTTGAATCATTTAATTCAAAAAGATTAGTTCAATATTCGTATTAAGTCAATTTGGTTTTTAATATTTTCAAATTGTTTTTATATCTAGTTGAAAAAATAAAAATATTTAAGGTGTCAAATTGCGAGTATTTAATTATATTAAAATTTCATACTAAAATAATATAAATTTAAGTCAGTTTTCTAATTAATGCCATCAGTTTTCTATTTTTTAAATAATTTTATTAAAAACTTCATTATTTTAATAAAAAAAATTGTGAAAAATGTTTAAAATTTATTAATTTTCATCAATGTTTATTAAAAAGTTGTTTCAATATTAAATTTATCAAATTATGAATGTTTATTAGTTAATGAAAATTTATAGTGAAAAATGTTTTAAATTTATTAATTATCATCAATTTCTAATAAAAACATGTTTCAATATTAAATTAATTTCAAATTATGAATGTTTATTAATTAAAGATTGTGAAAAATGTTTTAAATTTATTAATTTTTATTAAAAAGTTATTTCAATATTAAATTTATCAAAATGAAAATTTATAGTGAAAAATGTTTTAAATTTATTAATTTTTCATCAACTATTAATACAAAAAATATTTCAACATTGAATTAATTGTTAATTATCAATGTTGAAGAAAGTAATGAAAATTTATTGTGAAAAATGTTTCAAGTTGATCAATATTGATCATCAATTTTTATTAAAAACATGTGACAACATTAAATTAATTTCAAATTATGAATGATTATTAGTTGAAGAAATAATGAAAATTAATTGTGAAAAATGCTTTAACTTCATTAATTTTCATCAATTATTAATAAAAAAATATTTCAATACTGAATAAATTTCAAATTATGTATGTTTATTATTTGAAAAAATAATCATGAACATTTTTGTGAAAAATATTTTAAATTTATTAATTTTTATCAATTTTTAATAAAAATATATTTCAACATTTAATTAATTCTAAATTATCAATGTTTATTAGTTGAAGAAAATATTGAAAATTTATAGTGAAAAATGTTTTAAGTTTATTAATTTTCATCAATTTTTGATAAAAAAATGTTTTGACATTAAATTAATTTCAAATTATGAATGTTTATTAGTTGAAAAAAAAATAATGAAAATTAATTGTGAAAAATGTTTTAAATTTATTAATTTTCATCAATTATTAATAAAAAAAAATATTTTAATACTGAATAAATTTCAAATGATGTATGTTTATTATTTGAAAATAATCATGAACATTTTTTGTGAAAAATGTTTTAAATTTATTAATTTTCATCAATTATTAATAAAAAAATATTTTAATACTGAATAAATTTCAAATTATGTATGTTTATTATTTGAAAATAATCATGAACATTTTTTGTGAAAAATATTTTAAATTTATTAATTTTTATCAACATTGAATTAATTTTAAATTCTCAATGTTTATTAATTGAAAAAAATAATGAAAATTAATTGTGAAAAATGTTTTAAATTTATTAATTTTCATTAATTATTAATAAAAAAATATTTTAATACTGAATAAATTTCAAATTATGTGTTTATTATTTGAAAATAATCATGAACATTTTTTGTGAAAAATATTTTAAATTTATTAATTTTTATCAACATTAAATTAATTTTAAATTATCAATGTTTATTAATTGAAAAAAATAATGAAAATTAATTGTGAAAAATGTTTTAAATTTATTAATTTTCATTAATTATTAATAAAAAAATATTTTAATACTGAATAAATTTCAAATTATGTATGTTTATTATTTGAAAATAATCATGAACATTTTTTGTGAAAAATATTTTAAATTTATTAATTTTTATCAACATTGAATTAATTTTAAATTATCAATGTTTATTAACTGAAAAAAATAATGAAAACTAATTGTGAAAAATGTTTTAAATTTATTAATTTTCATCAATTTATTAATAAAAGGATATTTTAACATTGAATTAATTTTAAATTATCAATGTTTATTAGTTAAAGAAAATAATAAAAATTTATGGTGAAAAATGTTATCATCAATTTAAAAAATGGATGTTTTAACATTAAATTAATTTCAAATCATGAATGTTGAAGAAAATAATGACAATTAATTGTGAAAAATGTTTTAAATTTATTAACTTTCATCAATTATTAATAAAAAAATATTTCAATATTAAATTAATTTCAAATTATGAATATTTGTTATTTGAAGAAAATGATGAAAATTTATAGTGAATAAATGTTTTAAATTTATTAATTTTCATAAATTTTTAATAAAAAAATGTTTTAACATTAAATTAATTTCAAATTATGAATGTTTATTAGTTGAAGAAAATAATGAAAATTTATTGTGAAAAATATTTTAAATTTAATAAATATATTAAATAAATATGTTTTAATATCGAATTAATTTTAGATTATGAATGTTTAATGTTTTAAAAAATATATATAATTGAATTGAAACTTCCCCATTAGAATACTCTTTTAACATTTTATATACAGGGTGAAACAAACGTAAAACAAATACCAATTGATACTTGTATAAATCGACCATCGTGTGTAGGTATATTTATATTTTTCCTTTCTTGTTTCAGACAAAAAAATCTAAAAATCGTTGTTCAGGGTTGAGAATCAAACATATCACATATTTTTTCGTAGTAAAAGTGATTTAATTATTAAAAAAATAATATATATAAAGAAAAATAAGAAAATACCAATATACAAATTATATTAAAAAAAAATCGTTGAGCCCAACCCCGGCTGAAAAATGTACAGTAGAAATTCATTGTTATTTAAAAAATGACAAATATATTTTTTTTGTAAATATAAAAATTATTAAACCGTTTTTTTTTGAAATGTAAAATTCCAATGACTAAAAAATAATTTATCTTATAAATAATTAATTATTATAGTTAAGTTTTATGTACAGAATGTCTTGCCTAAGGCATCGTTGACCGTATCACAGTTCAAAAAAAAATCATTTTTTAATAAAAAATATTCATTAAGTAGGCCATTTTTAAGTCGATGAATTTTTCGTTTTACAAAAAAAAATAATATCAAAAGTTTTTTTTTGTATTAAATTCCGATGGAAAAAAATCATAACTTATGTCGTTTGTCACTAATTCTAGTTTCATTATTTCAAAAATAATTTTAATATTTCTACGCCACTGGAAAGAAAGGATTTTTTATGAGTTATGATTTGATTCTATTTTTTAACCGTTGCATATTATAATAATTCGGAATTTTATAACATTGTTACATCGGGTAAATTTGATCTTTTTATCCCGATTGGTTTAGTCGATAATTAATTTTATCTACGACCACTTAAAACTGTTATAATCGATAATTATATTACGCGAAACTACTCATCACAAATTTCATACAAAATGGCTGGAAATCGTGCATGGTAGAACAATAGAATTGCAAAACTTTTGATATTTTTATTTTGTTAAAAGAAAAAATGGCATTGGAGCCGCTTTACAGGAATATTCTTCATTAAAAATGGCTTTTTCGAAAAACCGCGACACCCAACCGAGCTGCCCAAAACGGATTTTATTCCCAAAATCCAAAAATTAACATATTTTTAGGTCGTACAAAGACAGTCATCAAAAACTGGGATCTGGGAGGGGGTTGACACAAGTGGGGACAGGAGGGATACAGAACACATCGAGTCTTCAACATTTTTCCCCACACACATTAATCGGAGTGGGGAGTAGGGAGGGGGAAATTTTACAAAAATTTAAATATTCATATACGAGGGGCGACCAAAGATACATCGTCTCAATCCAATATACGGGGCACACTCAATAATTACGAGTCCGATTTCGTTAATTCGATATATACGGGGACAACGGGGATAAGGGCGCGGTAAAACACTTTCATCGCAGCGCCAACGCGGCCAAACACGCAAGCACTATCAATTTGGCCGCGGTGGGGGCGCTGCTGCCCACAGTCAGTTCTTCACTTTTGACCACCTCGTTGGGATGATTGTTGTAAGTCTTGGATTTCTTGGAGGTGGTGGACGTCGGAGACGTGCTCGAGGTCGTCCACGAAGTGGTGGAGGCGGTGGTGCGCGGGGACGGCACCGACCACCACGACGGCTTGGCCGTTATGGGCGGCGGGGGCAGCGTGACGGGCTGCGGGGGCGGGCCCCACACTTTGAACACTATTTTCATGTTGTGGGTGGTGCATCTGCCGCCTATCCTCCTGTGCAGGTCGTCGCTGGTGGACGTCGAGATGAAGTAGTAGTCGTGACCTGGAAAAGTAATTATCTCAGTATAATGTAAGGTTCCATCAGTTTATTAATAAAAAAAGAATACAATTTGGTATATTTAGACCCAGAGCTGAAGACTATGTGGGTCTTACAAAGTACAAATTTTATAATATCATATTACAGAAGAAGAATCCGGTACCTGCTTAGTTATAATAATAACAATACTACTACACATGAAGATATCAACTAAGAAAATTCTCTTCAGTCTGGAGCCGATCCTGTATTGTTAAAACTATAGTTACTTAACTTGTTTTAGTTATTATTTTTTTTGTATTACGTCAATTAGACAATTCACTTTGAATGTGTACTTTTTTAAGACAAATATATTTTCTACCCAGCAGTTTTTAACTCCAGTTATTTTTCTCCATTTCTTGGTCCACGATCTAAGCATTGAATCGTCTCAAAAAACTCCACATGGTCCTTCGAACCGGATATTTAAAACTGCTGCTTTAACGTAGAAGATTAACACTAGATCGTCAAGCTGGAGATAGTTGTGAGTCTTTTCAATTTGATAATATCTGTTGTGAGTAAAGTTCTTATAATTTTTTTTTTTTTTGGTCATGTGGAGTTTCCTGGGATGATTCAATGCTTAGATCGTAGACCAAGAAACGGAGAAAAATAACTGGGGTTAAAAACTGCTGGGTAAAAAATATATTTGTCTTAAAAAAGTACAAATTCAAAGCGAATTGACGTAATACAAAAAATAATAACTAAAACAAGTTAAGTAATTATAGTTTTAACAATACAGGATCGGCTCCAGACTGAACAAATTCTATTAAGTGAGCTTTTAGTTTTTTTTTAAAGAAGTCAGTCCTTATGTTCTTTATGGTGCTAGGAAGCTCATTGTATTGTCTTAGACCATCAGATAGTATGCTTCGGTCACCAAAGCATGTTCTTACAGCTATGGTTCTGAAGCAGCGATTATTCCGAGTATTATATCTATGGATATCATAGGAAGTAGTCAGTTGTATGGATGAGTGTATATTATTCAGAGATAGGTTAAAGTATTAGACGACCTCAAAAACAAAGCAACTCTTTCAGAAAAACACGAAAATTGCGAGGCTAGAAACCAGAAAATATGGAAGGCAGGCTTTCATATCTTGAAAAGATTGTAGAAGACCTTTAAATCAATGTGTCAATTCGAAAGCAATATGAAAATTTATACGACAGGCTTTCAGATCTTGAAGAAGTAGTAGAATGTCTTAAATTCAACGAATCTAATCCAGAAAAATATAAAAATGTGGACGATAGGCTTTCAGATCTTGAAAAGTTCGTAGACGACATAAAAAAACAATGTGTCACTACCAAAACAACAAGAAAATTTAGACGACCGGCTTTCAGATCTTGAACAAGTTGTAGACGGTTGAAACCGTTTTCGTTATTTTGACACAAACATCTCAACTCAAATGTCATTTGTTGTTTATGCCTTGTGTCAAAAGTTCCATTTTTATTTGAATCTGTCAACGAATCAAGTTGATTTGAATTTTAATATATCTTGGCCATCCGATGTACTAATTGATTTCTAATATTCTTAATGGCCGTCTGATTTTATAAGATAAGCTTTAATACCGATATATTGTTGAAAATATATATTTTGTACAAGAATTTCTTAAATGAAATGTAAAATTTTAAACATACGGATAACACGTCTTATATAATTTTATATATTATTTTGTTTGGAACAGGGCCGCCGAGGGCCAGGCCGGGCCCCGGGACAATTCTCTACATCGGGCCCTGTCACAAAGAAACTTAACCAAAATCTTTTCATTTTCTAAAAAAGTTCCTCACCTCGAAAATAAATTTGCTCCTTACCTCAGCTTCTTCTTCTAAAAAAAAAAAGTGTCCTCACCTAGAAAAAAAATATTTTCTCCCTACTTCAATTAATTCTTCTTCTAAAAACAAAAAAAGCCCTCAGACGCAAAAAACCTCTCTAAGGTAATAAGCTAAAACTTTTCCCACCTCCCCTTTCTCTTCTTATGTCGTATTTCTCATGCAGAAACAGAAAACCCTACTGTCGGGCCTCCCCTAATAGTGCTACCGGGCCCCCATTTGAGCCCGGGCCCCGGGAATTTGTCCCGGCTACCCCTCCTCTAGTCGGGCCTGTTTGGAATGAGATATTATGTTCTACTATATTTAAATATGTTAAATAAAATTTTTTCTTTTCATATTAATTTTAGTCTCATTTTATCTGATTCCTGTGCAAATTTCCTATTTCCTCTCTAAGAAGTTTAGTTCGAGCTATATCTAAAGAAGTTTAGTTCAAGCTGTATCTAAGAAGTTTAGTTCGAGCTATATCTAAAGAAGTTTATTTTAAGTGTATCTAAGAAGTTTATTTCAAGTCCTATCTAAGAAGTTTATTTCAAGTCCTATCTAAGAAGTTTATATCAAGAAGTTGATGAAGATTTATACCTAAGAGTTTGGTGATATCCGAAGAATATCGTTCGTCCCTTTGAAGAAGGCCTAGAAATCACTCCTTATATTCTACCTCCTATTAAAACAGATAAGTGTTTTTTTTTTTAATAAATCCTCTAAATTTGAATTAAGTAAATCCCTGTGAATTAGAATTTATTACTACCTTATCTAAAACTTGGTTTATATATAATATCTTAATGGTTGGTGATTTTCTATATTTTTATCACTAATCTATAGTTAAGTATAATAAATATAGTGGTGCCCAACTTCTTTTTCAAGGTAATACGAGTTATTTAATAACCTAACCCACTCCCAAACTCAATTGAGCTTAAAACACTATAACAAATAGATAAAATAACAAGTACGAGGATATATCAGTATATAACGAGAGTGGTGCTATTACTTCTTTCAGAGGTAATATTTTATAACCCAAAAAATGAGACATGAAAGCCTTATATTTAATGTACTACCCCGCAAGTAGGCTTTGATTTAATTTTTGACATTTGTTACAAATTAATTATTGAATTGTCAGTGTTTTGCGTACCCATCGAAAAATGAAAGTGGAGCAAAGATACGCCATAAAATTTTGTGTTCGATTGGGAAAAAGACCAACTGAAACTTTTGAAATGATTAAAGGTGCATATCTAGATAATAGTTTATCACGATGTAGAGTGTTTGAGTGGCATAAAAAGTATAAAGACGGTTGTGAATCAGTTGACCACAAACTGCGAGAAATGACACAAAAATTGCAGAAATTAACAACTTGATACAAAATGATCGCCGGATTGGCATAAAACGAATTTCTGACAATGTTAATTTGTCTTACGGTACCACTCAAAAAATTATTCATGAAGATTTAGAGTACCAGAAGATCGCGGCAAGAGGGATTCCAAAAGTGATGACCGATGAACAAAAAGCGAATCGAGTGACAATTTGTCAGCAGTGGAAAAGGCAATTGCAACGTAACCCACAGTTTTAAATAATGTGGTTACATGTAACGAAAGTTGGTTTTATCATTACGATCCTGAATTGAAGTCTCAAAGTATGCAATGGAAGCATAAAGGCAGCCCAAGACCGCAGAAGGCCAAAACTGCTAAAAGCGCTGGTAAAGTGATACACCTGATTTTTTTTGATAAATTTGGCGTTATTTACGATCACATTGTACCTAGAGGACATACAGTAAGAGGGGAGTACTATTCTAATGTACTTCGAGGACCCTTAAAGGCAAAATTAAAGAAAAAAAGGCCGCTTTATCAGTACTTTGGCTGGACGCTGCATCACGACAATGCTCCGGCTCATAGATCAATGATTTGTCAACGAACAATTGAAGAATTAGGGGTTGAAATTATGGTTCATCCCCCCTACTCTCCTGACCTTGCTCCATGTGACTTCCATTTGTTTCCTGAAGTCAAAAAAGAATTGAGAGGTAGAAGATTTGAGTCGGATTTAGAGCTCAACAACGCTGTGATGGGTATACTAAACAGACTATCAAAAAATGGTTTCTCAGAAGTTTATGATAAGTGGATAAAGCGATGGAATAAGTGTATTCAACAGAATGGAGAGTACTTCAAAGGATAGTTGTTGAATTTTTTTTAAATAAATGTTTCGTTGTTATACTATAGCACCAGTCTCGTTACAAATTATGAATGATTAATAGTTAAAGATAATAATACAAATGTATTGTATTTTTTTTTTAAATTTATTAATTCTTTAAATATATTAATTTTTATCAATTTTTAAAAAAAAGACGTTTCAATATTGTATTAATTTCTAATTATGAATTTTAATTAGTTAAAGAAAACAATGAAAATTTATTGTAAAAAATGTTTTAAATTTATTAATTTTTATCAATTTTTATTAAAAAGATGATTCAACATTGAATTAATTTAACTACTTATGGGTTGAAAAATGTGAATTTTAAAGTAATGCTGAAAATAACAAACAAAAATTTTTCAGTAAATTTGAAATTGTTTTAAACTTTTTAAATTTTAATGAAAAAAGTAAATTTTTCTTACACTGACAATCATTAATTTTCATCAATTTTTATTAAAAAAAATGTTTTAACAATGAATTAATTGCAAATTATGAATGTTTATTAGTTGAAGAAAATGCAAATTTATTGTGAAAAAGCAAACTTACAATTTCTCCACTACTCAAACAATTTTATCTACAAAATGCCAATGATAGATAGAAACGAGCCCCAAAAACAGGGTGTGACAACTTTTTAAACCAACTGTAGGCAACAAAGATCGAAAATATCCCTCATTTTGGATAAAAAATAAATTAAAACGAAATGAACATATATGATACAGTAAATGTTATTCTAATTCGGTTCGGCAAATTACATGAAAAATAACCCCTCGTATCAAATCACGGCTCGCTGATATATTGAAATAGAATTATGCAAAACCACATCAAAGTATTTCCAAGTTCTGCTAATTTCGAAAAACAGCAGGAGTTGAATTTCAAACGGGTTTGCGTATACCACCACATTCATACTACACTCGTGTGTTTGTGTATATATATATTGAGAGTAGGTATTAAAATTATAGAAAGGGACGCCATTATAGATGAAAATCAAAAGGCTTTTGGAAAATCGCGGTATGTATGTATTTACCCATTGTACCGAAAGCAGTAATGACATTTTCGACCCATTGACATGTAGACAATTTGCGATTCAATAAAGCCACCTATTTGTTTTGACCCTTCATGGGCTCAAGTTTTCAATTAGTTGTGATGACTGTAGATAATTAAAGTTTATGAAAATTTAGGTTGGAATATGATTAGAATTCCGTAATTATTTGTTTGTATATTAAAGGGAATTTACACAACGTACTATCACTAATTAACCAATAGAATAATGCTGCGATATAGTTGTGGTCAGAGATAATTTTTCTTTTTTAATAATTATATATCAGTATTATTAATATATCTATAAGTATTTCGGCAGGAGGCAGAACAGTATATAATAAATAAAAGAAAAAAAGAAATAAAGACTTTCCAAAAAAAAACTAGCAACGCGAAAAGGAGGCAACATAGAGAGATAGAAGGATAACAAAGGACATAAAAAAAAGGAAACGACTTGGTAAGGAGCTGAACAAGATAGAGAAACAAAGACTCATAAAAGAAAAATAGAAAATAATGCAGAGAATACTGAAAGAAAAATATAAAAAAGCAGAAGTAAATTAAGAATAAGTACATGAAAAAATGCAAAAAATTTGAGAAGAGTCGCAGCAATTTTTCAGGAAATAAAATGGAAAGATAAAGGAACAATTAAGAAAACAGATCACAATAAAATAAAGAATAAATATCCAGAGAAAGTAAAATCACTACTAAGCAATAAACGTGAATAAAATTAAATAGAATGTGAATGGAAAATCATTAGAAAAAGCAAGAAAATATTACAGTTGCACAGAAAAAAAAAGTATGAAAAGAATGGGATAATGAAAAATGTACTGAAGCATAAAACAAAATAAAGGAAATAAGAATCAAGTGGCTGGCTGAGTAAAAATAAAATAGAAGAATATAAAATGGCATATGAAAAACTAAGAAAAGTAAAAGAGGGTGAATAGATAATAAAATTAAAATAAATTGTATATAAGAAGGAAGTAAGAGAAATACGAAAGAGTTTTACAAGAAAATTAAAGAACAGAACAAAATCTACAAAGGCAAAACCAAGGGAATACAAAATAAAAGAGGAATAGTAGATAGATTACTTCAAAGAACTATTAATCGATCCGGAATTGAAGGAAGATGAGATGACAGAAGAAGAGGAAACAGAAAAAAGGGATATAATAGCCGATCCAACAAAAGAAGAAATGGAAAAGGCCATTGGGAAAAAAGCAAATAGAAAAAAGATAGAATCAACAACGAACTTATTAAATATGAAGGCAAAGAATTGAAAGAAAGACAATTTTCTCGAATTCAGAAAAACTGAAGAGTAAAATTGCCCAAAATTAAAATTGAATTTTAAAAATCAGTATATTGAGTATTTTTTTATTTATATTTTTTTGGAAGATTGTCGGATCAAAAAAAGGAAATGTCAGTTAAAAAATATAGAATGTGGATGAAAATAAAAGAGAAGGCAAAGAAGAAATGAAGAAATTTAGAAGATAAGACAAAGAAAAGATTGATGCAGATGATGGGGGTAGTTGAAGAAAAGATGAACGAAATGGAAAACAAAATAGAGATGAAACTGGAAGAATCGATAAAAGAAATAGATAATAGAAGAGCAGAAAAAAATAGATATAAAATTTTATAAATGTCAAAACAGAATAGATTAAGAATGATATAAGGGTGTAAATGTTTGGCAGAATTTTTTTACAGATATGTTTGGTGGACTAAAAGACAACTTTTAAGGCAACTTTTCCACACTCAGGCCAATTAAAAATTTAAATTTCAAATTTTTGCCTACTACGTGTTATCTTACATCTTTTTTTGATTTTTTTTTATGAAAAAGGAACTTGAAGCCGTTACAATTTTTCAAATTTCTTTTACAGGTGTTTTCGATGGACTAAAAGACATCTTTTCCACGCCCAAGACAACTAAAAATGTACACTTTAATTTTTTGTCTATATGGTATCACTCCACCCTACTCCAGCAGTTAGTTATCCCCCTAGATTTATGTAAACTGACGTGTATCGCTGTTAGAAAAACGCGGGGTTTCTTATAACCATCATTTTGATCGAACCCCGTATTCCAATAGGAAAAACATACATTCAACTTTCTAAAAGCAAACGGATAAAAAGCAAATGCAAATAAAAAAACGTCAATCCTCCGAAGTAAAGTTAAACACCTTGGCGATATTTTTATCTCTCAGCAATCAAAAATGACTTATGCGTTCCCGAAACCCAAAACCTCGGTTTCGAATTTCGGATCATACACGATTTACCAAAAACAAAAACACCACGATTTTTATTTTTTTTTTAAAGGATGTAGTTCGACCGAAATAATAAAAAAAAATAAACAAACAGATATGTGTGTTCAATGTCCCCTCGGATTTTTTTTTCGTCCATTAAAAATCCACCAATGACGACGTTGGCGAATCGGCCATCTTGAGCACTCGGTAAGGCTTCGACCGGGGAATTTTTTACCCCCCTTGTACGGTGTCGTGCTTGTTTGTGTATAACAAAAAAAAAGAGGATGGGAAGTGTAGGGCTTTTGTTTTAACAAATAAAGAAGTCAACGGAATGGGTGTTAACTTGTACACCCTTCTTGAAGCTGCTGATGGTCGCACATTAGGTGTTTTGTTGCGTTCTAACGTGGGTAAATTAAAACTATATACGAGGGTGAATTGGAAAGCAGCCAAATACATACGAGGGTTCATCCTCATTCTGACTTATTCATAGTAGTCTGAAAGATTTAAATTTTTAACTGATAGGCTTCTCTAACTACGTGTGAGAAACTATAATTGTAAACAAAACAGATTCTTTATTTTTTTATGATGAGGATTAAAACCAAAATAACATTAATATTTAAAAAAAAAATGATAAAAAAAAAAAAAAATGAAAGTACCATTAGGGGACTTTATGATGAAAAGTATTTACACATTTTTCTTTATGCGAAGTTTAATGTTTTAATAAAAATATCACCACAACGTTGGACATTTTTTGTTAATTCAAATCTTTCACTAGATGTCAGGAAAAAAAAACGTGTTTTCTTTTTATTTAATTTTTTTTGTATTTTTCGTATCTACATAGAAATGGAATAAAATAATGTTGGATTTTTACGTTATTGCCAACTTCGCGATTTTTCAACAAGTATCGGGAAAAAATGTTTTCTGTTTTATTTCCGGCATTTTTCGTATCTACGAAGAAATATAAAAATATTGTTCAATTTTTAAGTTGTTGCAATAGAATAAGATAATGTTGGAATTTTACGATGTTGTCAACTCCGCAATTTTTCACCAAATATAAGGAAAAATGAAATGTTTTCTTTCTTATTCACGATAAATTTCGTATCTACGTAAAAAAAATAATGTTCGACTTTTACATTGTTGCCAACTTCGCAATTTTTCACCAAATGTCAGGAAAAATCTTCGCAATTTTTCACTAAATATCAGAAAAAAAATGTTTTCGTTTTTACTGCCGATATTTTTTGTATCTACTCGTGCGTAGAAATAAAAATAATGTTCGATTTTTACATTGTTGCCAACTTCGCAATTTTTCACCAAATGCCAGGAAAAATCTTCGTTTTTATTCGCGGTATTTTTAATATCTACGTAGAAAAAAAAATAATGTTCGACTTTTACGTTGTTGCCAAGTTCGCAATTTTTCACTAAATATCAGAAAAAAATACGTTTTCATTTTTTTTCCAATATTTTTGTATCTACGTAGAAATAAAAATATTGTTCGACTTTTACATTGTTGCCAACTCCACAATTTTTCACCAAACATAAGGAAAAATGAAATGTTTTCTTTCATATTCACGATATTTTTCGTATCTACGTAAAAAAAATATTCGACTTTTACATTGTTGCCAACTTCGCAATTTTTCATCAAATGTCAGAAAAAATCTTCGTTTTTATGCCTGGTATTTTTCGTATCTCCGTACAAAAAAAAATAGTGTTCGACTTTTACGTTGTTGCCAAGTTCACAATTTTTCACTAAATATTAGGAAAAAAAAATGTTTTCGTTTATATTCCCGCTATTTTTTGTATCTACATAGAAAAAAAAATAATGTTTGATTTTTACATTGCTCCAAGTTCGCAATTTTTCATTAAATGTCAGGAAAAAAATGCTTTCATTTTTCATTGCCGGTATTTTTCGTATCTACGTAGAAAAAATGTAATGTTTGACTTTTTACATTGTTGCCAACTTTCGCATTTTTCACCAAATATCAGAAAAAAAAGTTTTCGTTTTTATTCGTGGTATTTTTCGTATCTACAAAAAAGTTCTGACTCTTACATTGTTGCCACCTTCTCTATTTTTCACCAAATGTCAAGAAAAAATATTTTCGTTTTTTATTCCCAATATTTTTTGTATCTACGTAGAAATAAAAATAATGTTCGACTTTTACATTATTGCCAACTAAGCAAGTTTTCATCAAATGTCAGGAAAAAAATGCTTTCGCATTTCAGTCCTGGTATTTTTTGTATCTACGTAAAAAAAATGTAATGTTTGACTTTTTTACATTGTTGCCAACTTTCGCAATTTTTCACAAAATTTCAGGAAAAAAAGTTTTCGTTTTTCTTCCCGGTATTTTTCGTATCTACAAAAAAATGTTCTGACTCTTACATTGTTGCCACCTTCCCCATTTTTCACCATATGTTTCACCATATTTTCGTTTTTTATTCCCGGTAATTTTCGTATCTACGTAGAAATAAAAATGTTTTACGTTGTTGCCAACTTCGCAATTTTTCACCAAATATCAGGAAATAAAGTGTTTTCTTTTTTATTCCCAATATTTTTCGTATCTACGTAAAAAAATACTGTTCGATTTTTACATTGTTGCCAACTTCGCAATTTTTTACTAAATATCAGGAAAAAAAAATGTTTTCGTATTTTATTCCCGATATATTTAGTATCTAAATAGAAATAGAGAATAAGATAAATTTTCGACTTACCTGGTAAGAACTCGAGCCCTCCGGGCTGCGGAGTGAACGGTCGAAAGGTAATGGTAAAGTACATAAGTTTGTACGGCTTATCGCACACCGCTATTATCCTAGGATTGGGATTCGTTATCCTACACGTTTCGTATTCGTCCTTGGAAACGTTGTATATTATATATTTTTCGGTTTCGTCGTCCCGCGTGCCCGGCGTGTATACGGGACAGATCAGGTCCACCTAGAAACATCCAAAATATTCAAAACAACGCAACGCATTTGAAAAATCCCCATAGGGCATCAAAGAAACAAAAATAATTAATGTATGGTACGTTCTAACTCTAATAGATGAAATCACAAATTGAGTTTGATCATAGATCGCATCAGTAGATCTTGACCAAATGAATATGGAAAAACCCCCGAGTTACCCCCTTTCTAACAAAAATAGAATCCTAGAAATCGGACAAAGTGGTAAAGAATTAAGGCTGAATATACATAAACAATGAAGAATTTGATTTTCTTATGGATCATATCAAATTTTGACCAAATTTATATGGAACTACCCCTGAGGTACCCTCTTTCACACCAAAAGAATCATTGAAATCGGACATATTGATAATTATAGCTAAATAAATTCCGACGAATTGAGAACCTCCTCCTTTGTTTGGTTAAAAAGAACAACCACTAAAGATACATCTCTGGTCATTCCATTCTATAGCAGTTGATATTTGTACAATAACCAAATGTTTAAATCATCGTCTGCATTTAAATATTTGCGAAATATAAGCATTTAAACTTTGTCAATTTATTATAACCACTTTTTAAAAAATGCATATAAAATTTGTAACAGCAAAACTTGCAATGTTAACATACAACACGAATTAAACATCTAACTACACAGTCAAATATAAAGCAAATCAAATGATCTAATGATCTATTATCACAATGAATTTCGCTAGGGCGTTTAAACTAATTTAATTCCTGAACCACTATATAAAGTAATATCATAATTTGGTCCTTCGAGCCGGATTTTAATCGTTAATCTTTAAAACCAATAAATCAATAAAACAATGTCTACTACATCATAGCAAACCAATCACTATTATTATAAAAAAAACAGAACTGATACGAGCTGAAAAATTATTTTATCTAAAATCTTATTTAGTTGGTGAACGTGAACCATTCAAAATAATTAATAAATTTTAAATTACAAATGATAACTTCTAAAACGCACTTGAATTATTATACAAAAGGTTTAATAATAAAAGTCAAACTTTAAATTAACATTTTCATAAAATAATTAACAGTCAAAATATTGACAAAGCCAATTAATTTAATCTGAAAACATTTATCCCAAATTCAAATTCACTAACAAATTTAAAAAACCAGTTTAAACTCGTTCAACATATCTTAACTTAAAATGGAGACAAAGAAATCTAAGGGTGTCAGATCTTGGAGGTAATTCCATTCCCAAGGAGATAAACTTATTGAATAATAATACCCATATCGAATTTTTCTGCATTAGTTTCTACTAGAGAATTAGTTGACATATTAATGGCTTCAACAATAGACTATAGCAATGCATCGGAAAACAATTATTGATGATTATTATTAGCGTTATAGTATTAGTAAATAAGTAGTAATCGAAACGTTACCTGATCATATTCAAATTTGACATTATTCCTATTAACATCGATGATATTGTCGGTATTGTCGATTCTAAATATGGGGTTCGATGAATTCCAATAGATGGTGTAGAACCTGGCGTTGCTGGCCGGCATCGTGGCCAGCACGACCGCCCAGTGACAGGTGAAGGCCAGGAAGATGACGGCGTGCAGGAGCAGCCGGCCAGGTTGCCACGTCGTCGCTGCCGTCGATGACGTCATCGTCGTCGTGATGCGGGCTTCACTCCTGCCGCCGGCGCGGCACGTCGTCGGAGTGAGGGGGGATCGGGTGGAGTCGCCGTCGTTCTTGCAGGTTGTGCAGCTCTAGAGGCCGCTCGAGAGGGTTTACATGACTTTGGCTAGCCGCCTGATCGGTAATCTGAAATAAAACAAAAATAACAATCATTAAAAAATCTACTTACTAACAATACACGTCATACATGTACTAATTTATGGTGAAAAACACAATACGGTCTTATGTTCAACCACAATTGTCGTCAAGAACACATACTCTAGATTCTACAGTGTATAATATTGCTACTGAAGTCAAAATCAAAGCAAATTGGGCAGGTAGTAGTATATAACACACCGAGGTGGGAAGAGTTTCATTCCTGTCGTGAGATTAGTTAGTTAACCGAGACGCGAAGCGTCGAGGTTAGCTATGATTTCGAGGCAGGAATGAAACTTCCCACCGAGGTTTGTATACTATTTTATTTACAACCATCATATTTCGATCAAAGTTAATAAATCTCTGTTTCGTTCTGAACATACCTAAAATATTACATTTAACGACAAATTACCAAGCGCGCGGTTTTCTCAGAATAATCAAGTAAATATATTGTTACCGTGATTACGGGGTAAACAATTGTCACCAATATAAATAAATGTCAGATAAAGATAAATATGTAGTTTGTTGTATTTTAGTTCATTGTTGTTTTTTATTGTTTGCCATTAAATAGGTATTATAAAATTTGTCAAAAAAATGTCTCATTTTTTTAAATATAAAAAATATTCATCTAGAATAGATGCGGGAAATGAGGGCGGGAAGTAGAGGTGTGTAATGTGGCACTTCCCAACCTTCAATGACGTTAGTAATGACAGCATTACATATATGGTTGTAAATAAATGTAATAATAATGTCAAATCCGTTAGTCACCGATAATACCAATAATAAAGCTGGTAAATTACAATAAATATTCGACTTCAAAATACATTTTCTTATCTACAGTTACAGTGTTAATAAGTAACAGTTTGGGTGTGTGAATCGACGCTACAGTTTTATTGGATTCAGGGAGTCAGTCAAATTTTATAACTGAAGAATTGTGTCGCATTTTGAATTTACCTAAAACCAGATATGAAATTCAATAACTGGTATTAATCAAAGAGTATCAATGAAATAAATATGTAATTGTTGGAAGTATCCTCCACCTACACGTATGCAAGCATCTACTCTTCTTCCTGTATACTGACGCACATTTACAAAGATTCCTGGGGTTTCTAATGGTTTGGCAGCATACTATTATGCGATTTTGTAACTTTTCTTCGGTTTGAATCGGCACTGGGTACACTAAGCTTTTCAGATCCCCATGGAAAAGTTCGGGAGATCTAGGCGACCCTGACTGCGTTCCTCCGCGATTTATCCACCGATTGCGATAGGGATGATTTAAAAAAGCTAAAATGTGGAGGCGCACCATCGTGCTTTAGCCACATCTGGTTTCTTAATAAAAAAGGAAGGTCCTTAAGCGTTGGTGGCACATCATCTTCAAGTATGTGTAAATATGATTGTCAATCAAATCGTGGGAGAAAAAATGAGCCTATCAAATAATCATCAATAATGCCAGCCCAAACATTTAATGAAAACTGTTCTTGACGATTTGATTTAACAATTGCATAAGGGTTTTCATCCGCCTATAAATGGTAATTTATTATCGAGTTTCGAGAAAAATTAGCTTCATCGGTAAAAAGACGTTGCCTGTCAAATAACGGATTTTCCAGCAGATTTTGAAGAAACCACTCACAGAAATTAATGTGCAAAGGGAAATATCTAGAGAGTAATGTCTAATGTGATAAGTATTTGAATTTTATTGCATTAAAGCTATAAGGACGAAAAAAAAACAAATTTAAATAGCACCTTTATATTTTCTCATAATGGCGATCTTAAAAATGGTTACAAATATGTCTGCTTCCAGGAAAAAAACTTTAAAGTTGCAGAAACTAAAAATATGCCACTTTGTAGTTACTTTCATCAAATAAGTGGCAGCTGGAACAAGTCAAAAATATTTTTCAGCACTTCAAAGTGGCGGTTACGTGGCAGTCACCTAGTGTTTGCACCATAAAGTTAAATATTTACATTGTTACCAGATCAGCCATTTCTCCACTTATTTAAGAGTTTTTGAGTTGTTCAATAAGGCCAATGTCAGGGGAAAAATCAAATTTACCTTAAATTACAAATATGTCATCCATCAACCTAGATCAAGGTAATGTAAATTTAAAGTAATTTTAATCTTGAATAGCGTAAAACAGCTTAATCAAATATTAAGGTACAGTATATTTGAAATCACCAGAGTAAAAAATATGATGATGATTTTATAGTCGTAGACAAAATATTGTAAATCAGGTGTTAAAGCGATTTTTCACACGTGTGAGAGAATCACAATCGTACTTGTAATGTAATTATAGGTACCTACTAATAATAAAAAAACATCCTTTATATTTTAACATATTCTTTATAGAACATATATGTCGCTTCCATAATCGGAGAGTTAAACCTCGTTTTCTAAATTTGGCAAAATTCCTATCTTAACGACCAATTTTCAAGTTACTCAATATTTTAGTATTTACCAAAAAAATAATATCGCGAGTCGCGCCGATGATGCAATCCAACGCAAACACATAAAAATTTTAAATACCTTTTAAGCGCCATAGAAAAGCAAACGTTCAAACTTTTAAAAGTTTAATAGATGCATAAAAACAGAAATCTAAACAGAACGCGGAACCGCTGGCTGTAAAGGTATTCGTATACGTACGAGAGTGCGAGCGAGACAAGGAAAGAGAGATAAATAGATTCAATTCGCGTTTAGCAAATGGACGCTAATGAAGGCGAATTGATAGAGAGAAAATAAATGCTTTTCACACATGCCAAAAATCGAAAGCGCTGAAAAGTTAATGGAATAGCTAAAAATGTCGGGCGAAATGTAGATCTTAGATTCGGATAATGTCGAGAATATGAAAGGCAGGTTTAAATAATGGCTATTTTCACAAAATAAATCAATACGGGGGTTGGTTTTTAATAGATTGTTTTGCTGAAGGAAAGAAAACTGGGCCAACGGGTTCTCGGGGCAGTTCTCACGATGCGATATGCCGAATTTATACATTTTATTATTCTTACATGATTCTTTTTTTATTGTTCAACAAATTCGGGAATATACAGGGTGTCGATAAATCAATTTGTGTTATAGACACCAATGGCGTAGCCAGAAATTTATTTTGGGGGGGGCATATTTTTTTATTGATACTTATATGACACCATCGATGTCGAGTAAGTAGTCCAAATCTTCTTATAATTAACTAGGATTTTACCTTTACACTTTTTTGAACTTTGGTTATAATTATCGATGTTTTAATTAACTTCCATAATATGTTTTGGAATCTAAGATGATTTGATTTTTAAAGAAATTATCAAATTTTTCATTTTGACTAAATTAACCAAATGATATTTCTCTCGGTAATTACTAGACCTAGGAATATATGCACCCAAAAAGTAGTTAAATATGCGCATATATATGCCGCAAAATACTTCAATATATGCGTGAAAAATTGAAAAATATGCAGAGCATATGCAATAAGAGTAATTTGTTATTTGATCGAAATAGTTTATTAATATTTATTATTTGTTTTATTTTACAATACCTAATACTTAATAATTATTTAATTATTAACTACTTTTATTTACAAATCAACATTATTATAAAACGAATGAACAATTAGATGTTTTTCTAAATTATCTGTATTAAATGATTGTCTCCTATCAGTAAGTATGTACTTGTACAAAGAAAAACTCCTTTCGACATCTACAGAAGTAATAGGTGCAAACTTAAATTTTCCTGAAATATCTGGATGAATAGTATTAATATCTTCAAAGTTACCAGAATAAATATTAGCAAGGGTTCTTAAAACAATAAATCCTTCATTTTTTAAATTACATTTGAAAATTTATGAAAAATCGTCTTTCCAATATCGCCCTGGACATTTTTACACTCTGATTCAAACGTCTTAATTAAATTTACAGAAGTCACCAAAGGTAAATTTTTTTTGTTCTAAATCTAATATAATTTTGGGTACAAATGCATAATTTTTTAAAAACACTAATTGCTTTGGTAATATGTGATTTTGAAACAACTTCTTTGTATTAGATATTCCCTTAGATGAATCATCAAAATCACATATGATTTCTTTAATTTTTTCATAATTATCTGCGTAAAAAAGGCAGCTTTAAGCCAGGTACCCCACCGAGTAATCACAGGTTCCGGTGGCATCTGTAATTCAGGAAATTTTTCTTTGTACAATTGAGTTCTTAGAGGAGCTTTAAGAAATATTTTTTTTACATTACTAATTACATCATTTATTAGAGGAAAGTTAGCCCTAATTTCTTCTGCAACTCTGTTAAAGCCATGAGCCAAACATGTAGCATGGATTAAGTTTTCATAAAACATTTTTAAATTTTGTGCGGCTTTTACCATGTACGGGACAATAGCACGAATTTTTTCACGAGTCTCAATGTACAAACTGTCAACACCACGTTTGCGTAATATACTTTGCTCTGGAATATTAAATTTACAGTTTTTTTGCAAAAATGATCGGAGATTTGGATTATTTAATCGTATTAAAGGGATATTCGAAGTCACTAAAGCTTTGCATAAATCTTCATTAAAAATAGCTTGTTCACTTCTAGACGATCCAGATTCTAAATATTGTTTCAAGGGAAGTTGACTTTGTCTGCGAGTGTCTTTAGATGTCTGCTTTGCTATATGTGAGGGTGTTTTCGCGTGTTGGTCGATTTGAAACTTTTTTTTACATGGAATCTAAAACAAATAAATTCCTGTAGATGTTGAAGTTTTAATTAAATTAAATAAATGCGTACGTTGTAAAGTTGCCCTACTTTTTTTTAACTGTGAATTGAAATAATAGTTTACTGTCGTTTGATTTACCATTGTGAAAGGTTAAAATAAAATATAAAATAAAAAATTACTTACAATTTTAGAACATGTTTTACAAAACACCTGGTTATCACCTTCTACAACAAAATCTGAATAAGATTTTACCCACGACTCAATTAATTTTGCCATTTTTCCCACTGGTTAACACAACACAACAATAAAG